TTAATTTGGAAATAGAAAATGTGGGCTAGTGCCTTCAACAAATGCTCTCTATGTATTAGGACCTCCGAAATATTAAGGCTCCGTGTAGTAGGTCTCTTTGCACATGCATGTTCTTTGTCAAATTGCCAACCACATAAATATACATTAAATTATTACTCCCTCTGTCCCCCCTTTTTTGCCCCATTTTGATTACTCGAGAGTTAAAGAGTGAGGGTGCATGGCATACTTAGCCACTTTGGCTCCTTAAGATCGAGCCTCACTCCTACCCTTTACCATCTTTGACACAAAGTTTAATTTCTCATGCAATCAAACCAAACATTTGAACCAAGTAGGGATTCTCATGTTCTCCCATCCCCTTCAATTTCAATCTCTAGATTAGAATACCTTATAAGGAGTAAATGATAGAGTATAAAAACCGATTGGACTTCAACATACATTGATCATTTTTTATACTCTATCAATATTAATCACACAACTTTAATGAAATACTTCATAAGCCTGAAAACAAAGGAATAAAACAATCAACCTCTCGGTCCTCTCCCCTATCAAATAGATCAAATTCATATTATAAACTGTACTACCTTTATATTCATACTAATTGTCTATGGAGCCAATGTAAGTACTGACTACTGTGTAATAACAGTAAGCTTAATTATCTCCAAGTGATAAGGCTGATACATATCAATACAAATCACTAATCACAAATTAAAATAATATTCACATATATACATACAAAAACAAGATTATCAAAAATATCTAGACAAGCATGATAAATATCACAAGTGATAAAAATCCAGAATCTTCCGATATTTTCCTTAAAATAAACATATTGTTATAGAATTATAGTTATATCTACCCTTAGACCTTAATTATAGGTATCAAATCTAATTAAATACATCTAAATGACCAAATTGAAAAGACTAATGGGATTATTATTCTAGACATCTAGTTCTTCAAATGCATGACTTAGATCAATAATAGTTTATTTCCCTTCCTAAATTGATAAGCTTTAACAAGGAAGAAGTTAAAACCCAACCACTACAAAGGAGGGAATAAGAACTATCGAATGAGATACACTCGTAAGTCGTAATGATGATACTTAATGACATAGCACTACGACAAAATTAAAAACTTGTATATTTCTATTGAATTCATAGAATTATGGTATTTGGCATGTCTCGTAGGTACGATCCAAGGAAGCGAAATTGAAAGACATAGACACATTAATTATTTATACTTAGGATTATATTTTTTAATATTTTAAATAAAACATGAGGATATTTTCATATGATCAAGGTCTTCGATCTCAAACACGCAATTTATAGGTGACAGTGTAAGAAGTTGAACAATATGACAAGTCGTCATAAGACTATAGGTGTCAATTCTGATGATCGAGTTGAATTCGATTGGGTCAATCGAGTTGGGTTGGACCAGGTCTAGTTTAATTTAATTTTGAATCATGCTAAATCATTGTGATCTGATCATAAAAGTCAAAATCCATAGCTAGTTATTTTTTGACACAAAGACTATTGCACTAATATTTTTCCACAGATAAGGGCTAAAGAGAAAGCGCTCTTAAGCTGGAATCTCTCACTGATCAACATGCGAGTTAGTGGGATATGCCCTTTGGGAGTGGAGAGGAAGGGTAAGGGAATCCCTTCTCTAGCCAAAGTGTCTTAAATGGAATTTGATTTGCCTTTTATGGTTGTAAGATACAAAGTTGCAAAATTTTTCACTAGACCAAATCTTACTTGATAAGTCGTCGTATATAAGATTACTTGACTACCCCGAAGTACATCAAACATCATGTTAGATAAAATTTTACACGAGTTTTTGCGTTTTTATTAGGTGATCTTTATCCTTAATAAACATTGGAAAATGAATAAGGCTTTATAATTAGATGGAACCTTAACAAGCTAATACTCCCCAAGTAGCAAACATTTGGGAAGCACGTCACCACTATATTATACAAGAATACAACTACCCATATCTATGAGGATTATATTCACCTCAAGTCAACATTCATAAAATTAACTCAAAATCTCATAAGATTTCTTCAAATACACTCACTCCTACTAATCATACCCTCAATTCTTTTCTCTTCTTCTCTCAACTCTTCCAACTCCCCAAAACACACCCCTAAAGGTTAAGCTTTAAAAAAAAAAAATGCAAGACAAAAACCACTATCAATTTTCCTTCCTCCTCTTGCTCCTCCTATCGCCGTCCTTCGTGGCGGCGCAAGAAACTAGCTTCAAAGGAAACTCCGGGGAGCCCTTCACACCATCCACCGTAATAATCATAATCATGGGAATCATTTTCATGTTCACGGGTTGCCTAGCCGTATTCCTCCGCCAATTCTCGGACGGATGTTTCGGCCTCAACGTAACCCCCATCAACCCCGGCGTGACAGCCGACGGTCAACTAATCAACCAAGGCCTCGATCCCGAGTTCATCAAGGCCCTTCCTACATACTTCTACGCGGACGTAAAACAACATCGTAAAGGTCAAGTCGAGCTAGAATGTGCCGTGTGCTTAAGCGAGTTCCAAGACCCCGAGGCCTTACGACTATTACCGGGTTGTAGCCATGTTTTTCACCCTCGTTGTGTCGATCAATGGCTTATGAAACACGTTACGTGTCCCGTGTGTAGGCACTCCCTAGAGCCTGAACCAGGTAACATTAAATCACATAGTATTATCAATATTCCTACAACGTTACATGATGATTCGGATAGTTCTCATCGCGATCTTGGTAATTCGATGGAGTTTGTAGATAGTGATGATGTAAAGACGAAGACGATTGTAGGAAAGTTTCCTAGATCACATTCGACGGGGCATTCTATGGCGGATTCGGAGAGGTTTACGCTAGTGTTACCCGAGGATGTACAAAATAATATACCAAATCGGTCTAAGATGTTACGGTCTATGCTTAGCCCTAGGAGTGCTTACCGGTGTGGGTGGTTTGCTATGACTCCACCTATTTTTAATGCTCCGTCTCGTTCGGTTCGGTCCATGGTATCATCCGGTTTGGTTTTCAATAGCTCGAAGAGCATGGCCGCCCTCCCTCCGGTTAAAACCTCTGATCGTTTATGGCCTATATAAATTAAAAATTCAAGATAGGTCGAATTTTGTAGGAAATGATTCCTCTAAATTTACTTGGTGGTTCAAGTTCTTGGCACATATAGTTTATAAATTCCAAAAAAAAAAAAAAAAAAAAAAATGTTTCTAATCCCATTTTTGTGTAGTGTGTGATGGGTGCGTTTTACTTTTAGTTGGATCCATACTGAATCGAAAAAGCCGGATTTTAAAGGTAACACAACATCGTGAATCGATAAATTAAAATCAGGAGGTACGGTGATTCATTAAAGTAAGTAATACTTCATCTTTCCAAAGAGGAGGGTTCCCATGTAGAAATTCTATGACTCATTGGAGTAAATTTTTTTATACGAGTATATAATATAATAAAATTAAAGATACTTATTGACATATATAGTTGAATTGGCGTGAGAATACTATATGTAGTCAAACATGTTAATTGAGAGGTTTGTTTTGCCTGAGAAAGGTCTATGTACATTCTCAATCATTGTAATACTTGTATTATTTTTGTTATATGATTATACTACTCCAAAACGAAAGAACAAGTTGAGAAGTCAATTTAATTGATAATGATAGCGTTGTGTACAGCTAACTTAGCTTAATTAGAGATACAAGTAATTATACGTACAAACTATATATTAAAATCATAGCTTCTGGTTTCTTGAAGAGATAACGTCGATATCACTATATATATTAATTGCAAGGTTATGTATAAAAGAGGCAATTTCGATTTCTTACAAACTTGGCTCTTTAATTTTTTTTTTTTTTTTTTTTTTTTAATTTTTTAATTTCCCTTTCTTAATCCATATGATAGGTTTAGTTTTTACTTCGACCAAAAACTCATAAAATAATACTTCCTCTGTTTTTTTTTATTTTTTTTATTTTTTTAGTTGCAACACTTCACTTTTCACGCTTGCTGATGCATGATTTCTTAACTTCTTTAATTACCAATATGTAAAAATTATAAACATTTGATATTAAAATAGTATAAATCGAGACGAATCTAACAAGATCTCACATGACTATATTTTTGCTTAATTATAAATCTTCAAAGCTAGTCAAAGTGGAACACATGAATAGTATAAAAGTCAAATTGTTTAACTATAAAAAAAACGGAGGAAGTATAATGTCCTGGTTTTGATTTTACAATTGGTATGTCAATACAATATCTTAATTTGGTATCTTCAAATTTACGATAGATTATTTTATAAAAAAACATCAGTATCATAGATGCAAATAGACCATGTTTAATAATAATCATAAGTAATTACGAACAAGGACTACATGTACTATAAGTAAGGACAAAAGTGGTAGGTAGCAACACCACTGAAGGCTTACATGTAGCATAAGTAAGAACAAGCAGTATATGTAGCACAAGTATATATGAACAAAAGATTAGGTGTCATTAATATTTAGACTAATAAAATTGTTGCTTGATTCCATGAACATTTAATTAATTTCTCTAACGTGGAATAACTTACAAATGTATACAACAAAAAGATGTCTAATGATCATAAAATTTTGACAATGATGTCCAACTTTTTAAGTTATTGCTATGTTCAAGTAAGGATGTTTTTAAGCCGACTATTAATTAACTTATTCGAGATAAATTTGTGAAGATACACATTGTCGAGCTGTTCTTATCATGATTTCAATGTGGTTATCTTTACAACAATGTTCAACGTTTGGATCTTTTGCTATCATCTATATATTACTGGTTTTGAGCCGATTTTTAATTATCTTAATCAAGACAAACAAAATAATATGTATGCATTCTTTCCAAAAAAAAAAATAAAAAAAAAATAAAAAAATGTACGCATGTTCAACTTCTAATTATAAACCACTATAGATCGAAAATGTATCGAACACAATGAATTTTTTTTATAATTAAATATATATTAAAATTTATCAAGAGAGATCAGATTCCATTTTATATCCAAATGGTACTCTACTAGACTACTAGAAACAGAGAGAGTAACATCTCTTCAAGGATCATTTTGTCTTTTAAAAAAAAAAAAGAAAAAAAAAAAAAGATCATTTTGACAAAAGAATTACATTCATTTCTATGTTAGCCTCCTAGACAAAAGAGGCCATCATACGAGTTGAGATTAAGCTTGTTGGCCCCTTAGGCTGAGACTCTACTAGGCTCAAGCCCATCTAATTTTTAGGTGTCTTTTTCCCTGCACGATTAGTGGGAGAACAACAAATAACACAGTTACTAAAAACACCATAAAAGAAAGATTTTTTTTTAAAAAAATAAATATAAAATAGTACTAGGGGATGAAAAATGATGAAAAAAACCCCGCATACCATCTTATCATATGAACTTTTTCTCGATATATTATTGTAACCTTATCGCCCTAATATGACTCCATTTGTACATGTATAATAACACTCGATTTAAATTTCGAGCTCCTAGTTCAGGAATGAGCTAAGAGTGACAACACAAATATATCTCTTACGGCTACAACAACTTAGACGTTACATGGCATGGCGACCTAATTGCACTCTTCATTTGCACCAATATTAATGAAGAATAGTCTACGAATCGATCCGATTTGGAAGAAATAATGCTACTCCAATGTTGTGCATTATTAATTGTTGTATGATAATCACTCTTTGGACTACTCTGTTTAGGAAATAATAGGCTCCTAGAAGTAGTCATAGTAGTTTTATTTTTCCCTACCAAGCCACCTGTTGAGTAAGACCTATGTAACTTTTTTCCAGTGTCACTAGTTACTCTAGGAGTACTAGGACCATCAACACTCAACACTTCTGAATGTACGTTTGATGACCCTTCAATGTTGACTGTAACATGATCATGATCGTGATCGTGATCGAGATCATCGTTGTTTTCATCGAAAATGTGCTGAAAATAACCGCTATGACCAAATCTCTGTGACAATGGACCTGAAGTAGCGTCAAATGCGGAAGACATGCTCACACTAGATCCTTGCCTATGCTCCAAGCTGGACCTGCATGCATGACCAACTTTTAGCTTGTTGTAGTATTATGGCCAGTCCATGCGAACTAATAATCACTTATACTATTTTGAAATATTCATAAAAACTTAATTGTTATATATAGATATACGGAGAAATTAAATTATGGAAATGAACTAACTATATATTTCGTAGTAATTCGTATTTTATAAAGGGTTCAAATATAATAATATGACAATGTGATTATTAATTTTGAACAGTGATAATATATTAAATTATAATCTATATTACCATGTAAGTTGGTTGTTGAGGACTTAGGGTTGACCATTATATAATTGCTATCTGGCAAACAGGCAAAGTAGTAGATTGAGAATTTGGTATGCTTATTTGAAAATCGAAACAAACTAAAGACACGTTGACTTCTTAGTTCTTACAATTGAACAATGTCCCAATTAATTGTACTCGTCAACTGAAACTGCATTCACCAAAAAACACTTTTTACATATTAATTGAGCTTACGTGGTGTTAAGATGAATATATACCATACTTTTGTGTATAATTAATAATGTTGTTGCTTATAAAAATTAGGGTAATGCTATATGCAACCCTAAGGTTTTAGTTATTGCTTCAAATAATGTGTGTATTCATGTGATTGAGACCCAGAATGAAACGTAGAGTAAGAAAAAAAAAATGAGGCAAGAAATTTGGCAAACTGCACAAATAAATTAGGACAAGTAAAAAGGGATGGACGTAATATAGAAATAAATTTTAAAATAAACTAGGGTGACTAACGTGCGCGATGCGCACGCTATATCTAGCCATTTTTTGAAAGCTCTTTCAGTTGTTGGCAACAACAAAATATGTAAGCAAATATTTTTAGTGTTATAAGTGTTTGTACATTATTCTTTTTTTTTTTTTTGATAAATGTTTGTACATTATTCTTAAATGTTATAAATTAAAGGCAATTAACGTTGGCAAATAAGTAAAAATCCATTTAGAGGATATAATGGTCCAAATACTATTCATAAGAGTTAAATCAATAAACCACACAAAGATAAGCTTAAATGCAATTTAAATCATATCAATATATAGGGACATATAGGTAATCAAATATTTTTAAGGATAGATATAATTATCAACACACTATAAATAAGTGTTTTCTCATATTTTTTAAAAGGTAGGGATAATCGAAGTTATTGGAATTTCCTAGTAACATCTATCTAAATTTTAAGATAGGGACAAAGTACAACTCATGAGATGACAAGCAAAGAAATTCTAGTACAGTACTCGTATTTATCCTAAAGTCTCATACTTGTATAATAATAACAAAAATATAATAAAAATGACGATGATAATTTCTTTATTAAATACATGTGAAAATTATATGTACAAGTAATAATCCATATGACCAGACCATTTCCAAATCCTAAAGTTTATACATTATAAGTATAATTTTTATCAACTTTTTTGCAGGTAGCTTAGCTTATTATGAGTATTAATTAGCTTATAAATTTTGGCCTGGTTATCTTAAGTGTTTCGGGTGAAAACAATGGGACCTTGCCGAAGGTCCGCTGAAATGGAGAAGACTGGATTCGGTCCAAGTTATGTTGAGCTGAAGGTTTCCTGCACAGTAAACACACGTAAACTAGCCTCGGGGGTGTTGCCGAGGAAGGCCCCTCTGATGCTAAAGTCAGTACAATGTGTAAGAAGAAGACACTATGCAAGAGAGTTTGTAGCTTGAGGCTTTTTATGGAATATGAATCTATCAATGAATCAGAATATGAATATCTGAATATGAATGTGAATCTATCAATGAATCAGAATATGAATATCTGAATATGAATGTGAATCTCTTTATGAATGAGTCAATATGATGGCTTTTATACCTCATCATACATGGAGAGGTTGGGCCTTAGCCCAATTGGCTTGCTTTGTGGGCTGACCTTTGACTTTTGCACAATTGGAGAGTTGAACCTTGACCTTGGGCTTTTAATTGGATCATTTAGTGCTTAGGCCCAATTTGGACTAAATTGGACCCAAACAACTTGCCCCCCAGACCCGATTTGGAAGGATGACGGGTCGGGTTTGATTTAATTCAGAAAAGGAGGGAAGTAAATGATTTAATTAATCCAAAAATTTGAATTTAAACCGTAATTAATGAGATAACAACGGTTAATGATTGTGGAAGTTGGACGGATAATGGGCAGTTTAATCACAAGATCATGTGTTTAATGGTTACTTAGTGGTGTATTTAAGAGAAATTAAAACGCAAACTCCTCGTATCCCGTACCTGGAGATATAAACAGAGGCGCGTCATTTCTCCTCACTTATTCACCAACACAAACCCAGAATTCTCGAGAGAGAAACCAAGAACCCGCATCAAAACTTCGCAAATTCCCCGAGCATTAAGCTTAGAAACTGAGACTTGCCACTACGAACTCGTAAATCGGCAACTTTCGCTTCAGATTAAGGTAAATTCCTTTGATTTCAGTTTATTTTTCTTCGAATTCGAACTCCTTCCCCTTTTCTTTCGACTAGGAACAGGATTGGGACCTGGAATGGTCAAAGGCCGGAGTCTGACCCTGCTGAAGGGATTAGGGCGACTCCCCTTTCCTCGGCTCCCCCTCAGAGAACGGAGGAGCCGAGCGCTTCTGGACGGGATGATGAAGTTCCCGCTGTCCTTTGGGATATCCTCCCCGGGTTTTCAGAATGGGATAATGCCGAAGTTGCTTCGGCCATGATAAAGAACCGCCCCTACTCATGGTGGGTGGAGAATGCCGATCAATATCGATTTGCCGAGCAAATTGAGTTGCATTACGGCATTTTTGAAGCTGATGGGTATTGGTGCCGAATGCCCTCGGCATCCGATAGAATCCATCGTCCACCCCCGGGGTATGTGGGGGTGTACACAAGACAGCTTCAGTACGGGCTGAGGTTCCCCTTGGACGTATTCGTCCGAGACTTGCTGATCCATTACAACATCTCTCTATGTCAGTTAACCCCCACCAGCATCCGAAGGGTGATGACATACTTATGGGTCTGCAAGTTCTTCAAGTACGTGCCGAACCTGCACTGCTTCAAAAAGCTCCATCGGCTAGTGCCAAATATTCAAAGTGGGCACGGAAGCCATGGTTCTGGGTGGTACCGGATTGAGTCTCGACCCCAATACCTAACCATGTGGTCAAACGACTCTTCAGACAAGGACTGGAGAGGTCAATGGATTTGGGTTAGGGCACCCACAGATCCGGGCCACCCTTGCGTCTTCAGCGCTCCCCGGTACCTTGCTGAGTCTGATCCCGAAATGGGAAGTCTAGGTCCCCCCGCAGATAACGGGGCGGATCCGAACCTGGATCAGCAACATATCTTCGGCAAGCTGCCGAACCGGGGGGGCAGTGGTCGAATGCAGCATATCCCGGAGACTTGGCTCCCCGATACGCATTACGTTTTCCAAGAGAACATGCTAGCAGCTGTTGGCCTCAGCCGAAAGTTTAAGGATGGTAAGCTTCTTCGGCTGGGGCCGAGGCTTTTAATTATCTCTTTTTCTTCTCTCGCTTCGCTTTTTTATGCTGTGCCAATCTATCTGAGCTAACCTTTCCCCTTTCCTTTTTTCAGAGCGGGACGAGACCAACGTTGGCATTAACTACGCTCGTCTTGGTGTCAACCGAGAACGAGTTGTAACTGAACGGGCCCCGTCTATCACTGAGCCGAGGCATAGGGAAGTTCATCTAGACTCTTCCCACTTCCAAATTGAGGCTGTCGCTCTGTATCAGAGGCAGAAGCCTTGGTGGAAGAAGAGAGACCCTTGGTTTCAGCTGCTGGACGAAGAAGCTGAAGCTGCCCGCACAGCCGAAGAGGTTGCACGGGTACTCGAAGCTTGCGAAGGAGGAGAAGGGTCCTCCAGAGCTGCTGAAGCCGAAGCTGCAGCTAAAGCAGCTGAAGAAGACGAGGCTTTGCTGAAGACCTCGGTGAGCTTTCAGACTTAACTTTTTCTTTTTTTCTTTTCTTCTTTTTTTTTTACTCACATTCTTCCTCCCCCCTGTCTGTTACAGTCTGAAGAGAGTAACAGACACAGAGAAGGCAAAGCTCCTGTTCGTCCCGAAGACCAAATACAAGAGTCTTCAGACTCAGATATGGACGAGCAGCCCCTTCTGAAAAGGCGCCGAAGGATGGCCATCATCGGCCCTCATGACTTTCAGCGGAGGCCGATGACCATCGGCGTCGCAATAAGGGAACCCGAGGAAGGCAACGGATCGCCGAGGGTTCCCCAGCCACCACCCCAATCACCTCAAAAGACCCCTCCGCCACCTCCTGAGATGGAGGTGGATCAGAGAACTTCCGAACCTAAGGGAGGGGTCCAAGAAGAAATCAAGAAGAGTGCTGCTGAGCACGAAAATAAGGATGCCGTGATGTCCAGTGCTGAGGGCTTCACGGCAGACATCGCCAGAGAGGTTGAGGCTTTCGTCCTCACCCCTGAAGAAGAGGAGGTCATAGTAATTGACTCCTCTGAGAAGGATGATGCTGAGACAACCAAAGCTAATCAAGCTCCATCGTCATCCTTCCCTTCTTTCCAGACTCTGCATTCTGGAGAAATGGGTTTCTCGGCCCCCCGAATTCCAATCCCAGACCACATCTGGGACCTCATATGGGGTCAGAACCGAGAAGGAGCTGCAGCCTACTTCGGCGATTTTGCTGGCATGTCCGAAGTAGACAGAGCAAGGATCTGGTCGCTGAAGGCCACTGCTGGGATGGGCGAATCCAGCAGATCAGTTCCTGACCCTGCCAGGTCTAACCAACTGCTGATGATGCAGGTAATTTTCCTTGTCTTCATTTCCTCTGAAATTCAGCTCTTTATATTTATTTATTTATTTATTTATTTATTTTTTGTCTTCCTGTTTTCAGTTCGTGCACAATCAGACTCTCACTGTAGAGCTGATAGATACCCTACAAGATAGGGTAGACGCTGCTGTGCACGACAAGAAGGTGGCTGAAGAGGAATTAAAGCTTGCTAAGCTGAAGCAAGCAGCAGCTGAAGA